GTCCTGTCACGGCTATGGAGGCCGTTTGTGAACTCTCTGCCTGTCCTGTCACAGCTGAGGAGGCCGTCTGTGAATCCTCGTCCTATCCTGTCACGGCTATGGAGGCCGTCTGTGAACTCTCTGCCTGTCCTGTCACGGCTATGGAGGTCCACTTGCCACCAGAGGTCGCCCTTCCATGATATTGACTCTCGCACCACACAGACTGTTACACATCACCCTGGACTACATTTCCCATGTTCCATTGCACTGATTACACTCACACCTGAAACCAATTACACGCTCACCTGAATGCTATTACACACACTATATAACACCTACCCTGATCCTGCTCTAGTCGCCGAGTATTGTTCTGCATTTTTCACTCCCCAAGTGTTAGCTGCCTTACCGAGCCATTCCGTGTTTTCTGTTTTAGTCTCGTGTATTGTTTTGCGTTTATCCCTGTTTAGCGGATAGCTACCTTACCGAGCCTGTTTAAGTTTTCATTGTTTTCTTAGTCTAGTCTTAGTCTTGCCTTGTCTGTTTTCCTGGTCTCTGATTCACGCCACGTATCTTGATTAACCCTTTGCTTGCTGTTTCTGACTCTGTTTGCCCCTGCCTGGACCTTTTATCTCTTGCCTTGCCTTCGATATACCTGTTTGCCATTGACTGACCCATGCCTGTTAAAACCACGTCTCTTAATAAAAGCTTGCATATGGATCCGCATGTCTCTCGTCTTGTAACAATAGCAGTATGTGTCTGTTTTAGATAGAATTAAGTAGGTGGGGAAGATTCTTTCTACATACTTTTAGGTCGTAAAGAGGCACAGAGTCTGGACATTTAGGCACCGAGTCTGGGGTTTGGGTGATGGGGTTTGCTGGATTATTCATTAAGTCTGAGTAGTCCAAACTATACAGTGTCACTATTTATTCTCACTGTTTCCCCTTAGTCTTTGTTCTGGTATTAGTCATATTTTAGTTTTTATGTTCTGTTGTTTCCCCTCTGATCTCTGATTCTCTATTTTTCTGTTGGTGGATTTAAATAAAATTTCCCTGGACTTTGATTCCGGCCTTGAGTGAGTGTTTTAACTCAGCAATATGACAGAATAACAGAACTCCACAACAAATCTAGACTTGCTAACGGTCTGTTTTCTCTTCTTGGAGCAGTGGTAGAGATCCCTCAAGGACCACATGAGGAATTTTTACAAGTGTCTTGCTTGACTTTGTTTCTTGACCACTCGTTAAGTGTTTTTTTTTT